CCCCCATCCTTTGTACTTGCTCTGTGACTCATCAACAGCCCTCAGCATTCCAAAGCAAAAGAGGAAAGAGAACAGAGGTGGGATGCAACTTAAAAAGCCCTGTGACCACAGCCGAAGCCATTTCAGAGGTACCACAATTCTAGCTGTTGAACCCAAACCACCTGGTGGCAGCAAATTATCACTCTTTTAAAGGTCACCATAGGCACCTTTCAGAGTCTGATCAACCAAAATTACAAATTTCACTTCTCTTAACAACTCAATGGAGTCTTGAAGAAAGGAGACCATGACTTTTTCCATAAGCTTTTGCATCAGACAGCACTGAAACACAAAACCACCAAAAACAACTTTCAGAATGTTTTCATTAGTAATTTTAAAGAAAAACCTTACAGAAATGAGTTTTATGAAACTTCTCTTGACAAACTTAAGACATGAGCAGCCTTTCCTTATAAAAAGACTTGCATGTATCTAACTTATTTTGCACCTAGTTTTTCATATAGCAGTAATGTTTCTAGCAGGAAAAAAGCAATAAATGCATGTACAGTTTAATTTCTTGCCATATTTAAATGATCACAAGTTATTTATTTAGGAAAACATGCAGTTGGGAAATCTCGCTGCAAAGAATATGACTGACATTTTCAAAATCCAATTATAACTCTCAAAAATTCAAATGTATAAAAATCTCATTGATCAAAGGGTAGATATACAAAATTTTTATATTTTCATTTTCTTAGTTCTGTGAAAACATATGGTTTAGTTAGATAGGATATATTTACAGGGCAGAAGAATATCACATCATATGACTCATGTTCTACCTAAATTTTTCCGTTGGATCTCTGCCTCTCACAGATGAGTAATCTAATTTCATATTGGATCAGTCCTACAATTTGATACAGTTATGGTTTGAAATAGGAGTCAGTTGCTAGTTGTATAATTCAAAGACTTCTCAAGGACAATGTAGTCATCTCTTTCCTTTCATAAAAAATTCAGGTGATGTAGAAAGCCTCTGATGGTCTTTATTACTAACAAGGCATGCCAGTAGTGCAAGCCAGATCTTCTGCCCAAAGAGAAGCAGAACTTGCTGAAGTTCCTAAGCACACAGAAGGCAACTACTATAAACCAAATGATATGAAGAGCACTACTCTACAGGCAACATTCTGAAACTGGTTCTCAAACAGATGGTCCGTGAGCATTCAGAAGTATAATGGAAATCAGGACTCCTTCAGGAGTCAGCATGGGCTCAGTACAGATCATCCAATGTTCTACCAAAACATGGTTGTTTTCCAAAAACGGATTTGGAAAGTTATGTGATATCCACAAAGGAACCTAAAAGGATGAAATATTACTGAATTATTTAGTCAGAATTGAGTATGTCACTGCTGTTTATTATGATACAACCTACTCTTACTTTCCAAAGCCAATGATTCAACAAATGTGTTACTTTATGTTTTGAAGTGTTCCACGTGCTTAAAAACCATCTCTTTGGGACCAGCACAGTAGTCTAGTGGCAAAAGTCCTCACCTTGAACATGCCCCAGGATCCCATATGGGCACTAGTTTTAATCCCGGAGGCTCCACTTCCCATCCAGCTCCCTGCTTGTGGCTGGGAAAGCAGTCAAGGATAGCCCAAAGCCTTGGGACCCTGCACCCATGCAGGAGACCCAGAAAAGGCTCCTGGTTCCTGGCTTTGGATTGGCTCAGCTCCAGACACTGCGGCTGCTTAGGGAGTGAATCAACAGATGGAAGATCTTCCTCTCTGTTTCTCGTCCTCTCTGTATAGCTGATTTTCCAATAAAAATAAATAAATCTTTAAATAAAAACCTTCTCTTCTGAAACAATCCTATCTATTATGGAGTGGGTGTCTAGATCAGGGTTCAGATACCCCTTTATCACATTGGAGTCCCGACTCTACTGCCTATTAATGAAGACCTTGGGAGGCAATGGTAAGGGCTCAAGTAACTGGGTTGCTTTCTCCTGCGTGGCAAATCTGAATGAAATTCCCTGCTCCCAATCTGGACCCAGACGCAGCCATCTGAGGGATTTGGGGAGTGAACCAATAGATGGGGGTTCTCCACCTCATTCTCTCTCTGTGTGGCCTCTCAAATAAATAAAGTCAGTCATTACTATGAGATAGAAACTATTGTCATCAAGAAACAGTAGAATTGTGACTTACGCAGAGTTGAAACAGGTCTATATCCAAATCCAGACACTTACTTAAATGTCTGTGTGATTTTGGGAAAGTACTTAATCTCTGGTTTATTTTGTTAATCTGCAAAATAGGGTGATAATAACAATAGTAACTATTTGTAAGTGGTGGTAAAGATTAGGCAAACATCTTAGAAAAGTATCTGGCACATAATAAATGTGAATTGAATTAACTACATGACTGTCACTGTAACAACTCCATCTTATGTGCTACTAACTGAAGTTTTGGGTCTCCTATCTCCAATTGATGGTATTTGGAGGTGAGGCCATTGGCAGGCAATCAGGACATCAGAGCGAGCGAGAGATAATTCCCTTCTCTGCTATGGGAGGATAAAGCAGGAAGATGGTCCTCTGCAGACCAGTACCCAGATATTAGATTTTCTAGACTTCAAAAGCAGGGAAATAAACTTTTGTTATTTAAGTCACTTAGTCTATGGTATTTGTCATAGCAACCTAAGCAGCCTAGGATAAGAGGGGGGATTCACGTGTCTAAGACACCACCATTCCCCCAGCTAAGATGTAGATCCAAGGCTCTCTGATGCCAAAGCCCACAGCATGGGCACTATAAAAATTGTGTGGTAGGGGCTGGTGTGGTGGCATAACTGACTAAGCCTCCACCTATGGTGCTAGCAGCGCATTTGGACAGCAGTTTAAGTTCCAGCTGCTCCACTTCTTATCTAGGTCCCTGCTAACAGCCTGGGAAAGCAGCAGAGGATGGCTGAAAGCCTTGGGACCTTGAACCCAAATAGGAAATCTGTTTCTGGTTCCTGGCTTCAGATCAGTCCAGCTCTGGCTATTGCACCCATTTAGGGGAGTGAACCAGCGAATGGAAGATCTCTTTCTATCTACCTTTCAAATAAATACAAATAAATCAAAGAAAGGAAGGAACGATGGAAGGAAGGAAGGAAGGAGGGAGGGAGGGAGGGAAAGGAAGGAAAGAAGGAATGGAAGGAAAGAGGAAAAGAAGGAAGGAGGGAGGGAAATGAAAGAAAGAAGGAAAGGAGGGAATGAAGGAAGGAAGGGGGGAGAAGAAGGATAGAAGGAAGGGGGAGGGAAATGAAAGAAAGAAGGAAATGAAAGAAGGAGGAAGGGAAGGAAGACAACTGTGTGACTTGGCTGATTTGAAACAACCTGACAGCCTCCTCTTGAGAACTTTGTTTTAATGATCTGTGCAACACCTAACCTGACTGCAAAGCTCCTCCTGGATCTCTAACTTAAAAGGATCCTACATAACAGGGAAGCAATTTGGAATTTGGGTTTGCAAACTTGAAACTACACCCTTCCCATTTTAAAACATGTATCACTGAAGCTCTGGTGAGTAATATGTGTTGACATCACTACTGAAGGATAAATACTAAGTGTTTATTATTGCTAAACATGAACCCAGGCTTGTTCTAACATTTTTGACATCTTAACTTGCTTAATCCTGTTGACAGCATTGTGAGGTAAGGAATTATTAGCCCCAAGTGGTTTTCACATAAAGGTTTGAATTACCCAAGGTCACTCAGCTTGTAAGTTTCTGAGCTGGAATTCAAACCATCCAAATGTCTCAAAGAAGGCCCTGGCTCTTCAAAACTCAACTGCCCCATATATTTCAAGCAATTTTCTCCACAGCCTGCTCTGTCATTTGGGATACTGAAGTCCACTCCAATTTCCAGATTTTCACAATCTCCTCCTTAGCACCCAGTCTTCACCACTGATTACACTTCCTGCACATCCTTGCTACCTTCTCTGACCTGGGCTAGCTTCCCTTGGATCACACATCATTTGCAGGCAATATCATTCCTTTATTTTTATTGCATTGTCCACTTATCTTTATAACCCAAGTTCCAAGGGCCTCTTTCTTTCCTTCTTTTTAAATGTATTTATTTCAAAGGCAGAGAGACAGAGATCAGTATTCTTAGCATTACTGGAGGTGCAAAAGAGTTCTACTTATTTCTAAGTTTTTGTCTCTTCAAAAGAAAATATACAAATTCCTTGAAAGAAAGAATCTTGTCCAACCCTTTGTCCCCTTGCTCTCGAGTTATTCTTGGGACACAGCAGTCCCTCATGAAATATTTGTTGAGTACATGGAAGAGACTGAAAATGGTACAAACTAAAACTAAAGTGTATCCCTGCTAGGGAACAAAAAAAAAAAAAACTGATGAGACAATTCTCTCTGTAAATCTGACTTTCCAATAAAAATAAATAAATCTAATAAATAAATAAATAAAAAGATTGGTTTTTTCTTTACATGAAAGAGCAACTAACAGAGTGAGGGAGATTAGAGAGATATTCCATCTCTTGGCTCACTCCCCAAATGGCTGCTACAGCTAGGACTGGGTCAGGCAGAAGCCAGAAGCCTGGAACTCCATCCAAGTCTGCTACTGCAATTTAACAATAGTTTCTTCCAAATGGCTAAGAGCTTCGCAGTACCACCCCCCCAAACCCCCACCCCCGCCAAGGCTTCTGTCAGCCGCCAAAATAAGCCTAATGACTTCAACAATGAAATTAGTTTCAGCCAACTGTGGTAACAATTAAAACGCAGGAACACTCCAAAATCTGAGGAAAGGGTGAGGGTGAGGGCGGACTATTAAAACGGATGATTACCGGGTGTGTCTCTTAGCCTCTAGGCGCTTTACATCAAAAGAACTTTCAAACTCTTCGGAAACCCGGCTCCCACAGCCTCACGGGCTTCTCCCCGCCCCCTCGGCCCGCACCCAAGCTTACTTGGAGTCTGCGTACTAGCGACAGGCCAAGCATCAGCCTCTCCGCTCGGCGGCCGGCGCTGCGATGCCGATGACGTAAATCTTCTGCGCCACACCGCGAGCGGTGCGTGGACTTGCGGTCTGAAATCCGGTGTCTGCACGGATTGTGGTGCCCGTGGGACCCAGGATACCATGAAGGAAACGCCGCTCTCCAACTGCGAGCGCCGCTTCCTTCTCCGCGCCATCGAGGAGAAGAAGGTAAATGGAGGGACTGCGCCCTGCGCGGGTGCTCTGGTCCCACGAGGTGAGCTCACCGGTCGTGGCTCGCGTTGGGCCGGGGGCAGCCATGGGGAAGCAGCCAGAATGTTGCCCGGCCTCTGCCGCGGGGTGCTGCACCGAGGGCATGTTTGGAAGGCGCGAGTCGTGCCAGCACCTGTCACCGCGCAGGCACCTAGCTTCCACTTTCCCAGCGAGGTGGGGAGGGTAAGATCCCACTTTGGCCCAGATGCCTGGCTCAGGGCCGGACCGCTAGAAATTGTTCAAGAGATGCTTGAAGGAATAAGAAAATGAATGATATGCTTACAGCGGCTGGACGGCAGGCAGACCTACGATTATAGAAACATCAGGATCTCTTTTGGAACAGATTATGGGTGTTGCGTTGTGGAACTTGGGAAGACAAGGTAAGGGAAGATTTCAGTTAGATACAAATCCAACAGGAAGTTGATTGAAAATAACATTGAATCCGCTGTTGACAAAGTAACTCGCAGGTCGGGACAGGACTTTGTGGAGTTGCCAAAAATAAGGGTATTTTGTTTAGTCCGGGGCTTTTTGGTTTTATGATCCCGTTTTGTTTTCAGTCATGACTGTCCTAAATAGTCAGTCCATGTTACTATGTCTGTGTGTTTTATTTCTGTTCTGGATGTAACTGCTGCCTCAGAATGTCATTCTGTGTGTTCTGTTCCTGAAAGCAAGATTGAACACTGACTGTTAGAGAGGAAATGCATGTAGCTAACTCCTTTGTACCTTGACCTTGGCAGAGTTCTCGGACAGGTTTCCTGTGAACTCGTTTCTCCAAAGCTCAATAGAGCAACAGAAGGGATTCTTTATTTGAACCTTGAGCTCTCCCAGATGGCTGCTCCAGCTTTTGAACCTGGCAGGTATTTCAGATCTTTTTCTTAAACTGCTTTCACCGTAGGAGAATCTAATAGCAGTAAGCTATTAGTGTAACGTTTAATGTGTATAATGTACTTTTGTTACATTTCATGATGTTAGCCCATCCCTGTTTTCATAGGCAGTCTGATCTCTTGGTGAAATTGAATCGACTCTTGGAAAGATGTCTAAGAAATTCAAAATGTATAGACACTGAATCACTCTGTGTCGTTGCTGGTGAAAAGGTGAGGAAATGTACCCAAACTTCTGATTGTTGGTTCCTGTAGCTGTACTTTCTCAGCGCTTCAATTGATTAAGTTTAGTGCTGGTTCAATTCCCTCCCTGAGTACTATTGGAACTTCGTATTATATCTTCTATCTTCTTTTTAAAGGGTGAAAAATAGTGACTTGGCTGTATGTAAAACATTCCATTTGAAGAGCTTATGCCTCTTTTACATAATCTCGCATATATTTCTTTGTTAAGTTAGTGAGCAGTGTTTTCCTTTATTATGGATGAACTGATGAGCAGATCCAAATGTGTGTGAGTAGGTGTTGGTCACACACAGTCAGTGGCAGGGCTGACACTGGAAAATCTTTGTCTCCATGAATTGTGCTTCATCAGCTTTTTAACTCCAGAGTAATCAGTTCACTTTCCACATTCCCTGCCTGAACATGTGCATTACTTGTAAAGTTATCATAAATACTATCATGTAAAAACTAAGAATTTGAAGTTTTTAAGTTAGTGAGTCAAGTAGACATATACTTGGATTTAGCATTAGGAAAACCTTACAGTGATTCTGTTTAGATGACTAGATGACTCATATAATAAAGTGGAATGTTGGTATTTCAGATTTTTGTTTAACTTAAAAGATTTTTAGGTATATTTTTATTGAAAATCTGGAAGTCACTGCATTCTAGCAACAGGAACAAAATTGTTCATGGTGTTACTTCTGATAAGTGGTTATGATCAGTTTATTTTCATCTGAAATTCACTTTCAGGTTTGGCAGATCCGTGTTGACCTGCATTTGTTAAACCATGATGGAAATATTATTGATGCTGCCAGCATTGCTGCAATTGTGGCCTTATGTCACTTCCGAAGACCTGATGTCTCAGTCCAAGGAGATGAAGTGACACTGGTAAACTCCCCTGATCTGAGCCAGGATCCTTCCAGGAATGGAGTATCCTGGATGTGCGTGCTACCTGTTACTAGCAAACACATATGATAGATGGCTAGGAGCTAAGTTCTAACATTTATTCATAGGGCGAAAACTGTATGCACCCAGGACTGCCCTAAGATCTCTTCTGTTTCCCGTTTTGGTGTCTTGTTAGTAAGAACAGGCTTACATGGGTGGACGTGGGGCTTAGCAGTCGGAACACTGGAGTACGTGGGTTTGAGTCGTAGCTCCAGTTCCAGTTTTGGCTTTCTCCCGTTGTGTGCCCTGGGAGGCCAGGCTGATACCTGAAGTATGTGGATCCCCTCACCATGTGGGAGACCCAGATTGAGTTTCAGTCTAATAGCTCCGGCCTGGCCATTTGAAGAATGAACCAATATGCAGGAAATCTGGGCTGTCTCTTTCAAACAAAAATGCCTCTTTGCCTGGTTTTCTAAGGTAGAGTAATTCTATGGAGTGTTAAATGAAGTAGTTGGATTATGTTTAAGGATCACACTTGTGAAAAATACTTGAGAGTAAAGTGGGACACTTACTGTTAAGAGGCATGTAATAACTTGAGAAGGATCTAGAGACCAGCAGATACACAGCTTTCTTTTTTTTTTTTTTTAAAGATTTATTTTTATTATTTTTTCATTGGAAAGGCGGATATACAGAGAGGAGAGACAGAGAGGAAGATCTTCCGTCCGATGATTCACTCCCCAAGTGAGCACAACAGGCCGATACTATGCCGATCCGAAGCCAGGAGCCTCTTCCAGGTCTCCCACGCGGGTGCAGGTTCCCAAAGCTTTGGGCCGTCCTCCACTGCTTTCCCAGGCCACAGGCAGGGAGCTGGAAGGGAAGCGGGGCTGCCTGGATAGAACCGGCGCCCATATGGGATCCCGGGCGTGCAAGGCGAGGACCTTTAACCACTTGCGCCACCGCGCCGGGCCCACACAGCTTTCTTGAGAGCTTTTGTTCACTATTCAAAATAGATGGCAGATGGATGTCACCAACAGAGCTTGTTAAAACTTACTGCTAAGCTCCACTGACAAGGCAGGACAGGAGCAGCACCCAAGAATTAATACCAGTGCTGCTGGCCCAGGAACCACATTTTGAAAACAGTTAACATATGTTGTCTCTGTCTTTTGTGTTGAGTGTGTCGTTTTTGCTTTACATAAATTGTATGCTAAAATAATGGAAGCTCGTTGTCATAATCTTAATGTTGCAAAAGGGAACTTGAGATTCTCATTTTCTAGATACTCATAGTGCTGTTTTCAGATATTAAGCTAGAGCAAAACTCTAAAGCCTTAGGGGTAGGACAACGGTTTGCTAATGGTATTCTTTCAGAGGAGACAGTTGTAACAAGGAAGTTAAAGTAGAACAGTTATTTGACTTGAGAATTCTGATGAGTTATTGGTGGGAGTGTAAAATGATACAGCTCTGTTGGGGGAAATTTTGTTTAGAAAGTTAAGTATATTCTGTATGTATATTTTTTGACACACGTGACTTGCCAATATTTAAGTCTGCAATGGCTTAGAAATAGAAGGAAAAATTTCCAGCAGTTTCTTTCCTAAGAATTTACAGGTGAAGTGGGAACAATTATTTGCTTAGAGACTTGTATGAACATGGTAATAGCCCGAACTTGAAAATAATCCAGATATCCATTAGCTCTTGAATGGATCAGCAAAATGGGATATGTTCATGTGATGGAATTTTAGTTTTTCATTTTACTATTTGTTGAACAAGGTGATTTTAAAAAAAAGTTCTTAACTTGAGCCTTTTCTTTTGAAACAGTATACGCCAGAGGAGCGTGATCCTGTGCCACTGAGCATCCACCACATGCCCATTTGTGTCAGCTTTGCTTTCTTCCAGCAAGGGTACGTCTCACCTTGTAATGGGCTGAAATCACCAATGCAGCCAGGAACTCTACTCAAGTGTGTACACGCATGGATGAATAAGCCCCTCCTTTAACACTAAAGCACCCTAGTGTTATTTTCTTTATCTGTGAGGGCATAACCTATTGGTAATTACACTCTCCCATAATTAAGACACGTTGCACCATTTTTCTTTTAATGGCATACTTAAAATTTTACAAATTTGCTGTGGCATGGCAGTGTTTTGCATTTTGTAAAGATGTACAAATATAAAGGACAGTTGTGTGTTAGACTCACTTTTGGGGAAGTGGGGGTAGAAATTACTGGGAATTAATGGAAGACTGGGAAAAAAGCTAGTTTCCTGTAGCTGTCCAGTAGTTTCTTCACAACTCACTGCTAAACCCTACAACAAAAAACTTGGGAGTCTTTTGGGTCCCTGTAGTGGTCCTATGGTGTCTTTACTGATGCTGTGTTTTAAAAAGTCCGTTGCTCTTGGGAACGGAGTCTGGCATAGAGGTTAAGAAGTGCACCGCACCAGAGTACCTGCATTTGATTCCTTATTTGACTTGACTCCAGCTTCCTGCTAATGCCGTCCCTAGGAAGGAGCAGCGGTGTCTCAAATAAGTGGGCTCCTGCTGCCCATTTGGGGAGCCTGGGTTGTGTTCTCAGCTTGCAGCCTCAGCCTGGCCTGGCCGTGCTGCTGTGGGCATTTGGAGAGTGACCTGGTAGATGGAAGCAGCTTGCACATGCTCGCACGTTCTCTCGCTCTCGCACTCTCCGTTTCTCAAAAGCAAATCAGAAAGCATCCATCATCCCAAAACTGATGAAAATTCTGCCTCAGATGGACTCAGGTCCTTCTAACATTCATTTCAGGATGTATTTGTTGGTGGATCCCAGTGAACGAGAAGAGCGAGTAATGGATGGCTTGCTGGTGATTGCCATGAACAAGCATCGAGAGATTTGTACCATTCAGTCCAGTGGTGGGATAATGCTGCTCAAAGATCAAGTTAGTGCTTTAATTTCTGATTAAGAATAGGCCACTTCTCTTTAGAATGTTTTTTCTTTTAACCCAAATCTAGTGAACGTGATTCTTAAGGATTGATTCTAGGATGTGCTAGATTCTGGTTTCAGAACCGTCATTCTGTCCTTTTGGCTGGAAGTTCTAAGGAACCCTCTGTATTCCCATGTAGTCTCCATGTGTGGCCTTCTAGACTCTGACCCTCTCAACTAGAACATGTTTTCTTTCATATGAAAAGATTCCTATTCCTTAAAAAAAAGGGAGGGGGCATTGAAAGTTAATTTCATTTGTAAGAGCTGGGCATAGGGGCCAGCATGATTGCCGAACAGCCTAATCCTCCACCTGCAGTGCCAGCTTCCCAAATGGGTGCCAGTTGGTGTCCTGGCTGCTCTACTTCCCATCCAGCTCTCTAGTTATGTCTTGAGAAAGCAGCAGCAAATGGCCCAAAGCCTTGGGGCCCTGCATCCATGTGGGAGACCTAGAAGGTGGTCCTGGCTTCTCACTTCAGATGGGCTCAGTTCTGTCCAGTGCAGCCATCTGGGGAGTCAATCAGCAGATGGAAGATTTCTTCTGTATTTCTCCTCCTCTCTGTAAATCTAGCTTTCAAATAAAAATGAAGAAAGATTTTGGATATAATAGATAGTGGTTCTGAAATCAGCTATATACCAGATTCATATGAGGGCTTTTAGAAAACAGACTGTTATATGACATACAGTATTTACAGTAAGGAGCATTGTGCGCTCTCCCTGTCATGTACTAATGGACCACGGGCAACAGATTACCTGTGTGTAGATTTGTGGTTCTTTCTGTTCACGGGGAGTGATGTCACTAATGACACTGTTATTAGAATGGAAGGATAATAGGCGTCTACGAAAAAGGAAATGTGCAATGTGTTTGTGTTTTCATGGTCATTGTCGTTAACAGTATTGTAACTACTACCCAGAGCCCTCTTGTTGATTACTCAGAGAAGGGACAGTAGTACATGTATATGTATGCAGTTACTTCAGAAAGTTAGTGAGACCCCTCCAAATGTCTGGTATTTTATTTGGTAAGGCCTTTTTTTGAGTCTGTCCACCTAATGTGATGGTCCTTGAGACATTTTAAAACAGTTCAAACCATGCCTTAAATTGTACTTAGATTGTATTATTTTCATACTTGGGGGGAAAAAGGTTAGACTTAAAAGTAGAAAAACTAGTAGCACTTTCAGTTTTATGTTGCCTTTAAATAACTGATGCACTTTTATAAATAGGTTTTGAGATGCAGCAAAATAGCTGGGGTAAAAGTAGCAGAAATTACAGAACTAATACAAAAAGCTTTGGAGAATGATCAGAAAGTTAGGTAAGTTAATTTTTTTCAGATACAATTTTTTTTCCTGTTAAGGCTCTTTCTTGTACACTTTTAATGTTCACAGTTAATTCTTATTTGTTAATAATGTCTACTAAAAATGATGTAGATTTTTTCAAAGATAACTATTTCGATTTAAACATAATATGTATTGTAAAGCCACATAATGTTAACATTTTCTTAGATTAAAAAAAAAATCTAATAATTCAAGTTAATCAAAAGAATTCAGCTGGCATTAACTCCCAACTCTGCTTTTGTTTGAGCATGTAAGATATATAACCCAATACTTCATTGTCCTTCTTTGTAATTTGGAAGGTTAATGCCTAACTGGTATGGCTGATTGGAAAATGAGAGAGCTAAGAGAGCTAAAGAAACTTCAGATGCCTAGAATTATAAATTTTGTAATGTCCCATGATTATTTGAACAAACTGGTATGGTTATGTTGATCAAACTGATTGTATTTCAGTATTTCTCATCCACCAGAGGATAAAACAAATTTTTGCCTTCTTATGTGTTCTCTTCCCATCTTTAAACCCTTTATTTCCCCAAAACACCATACACAGGAAAGAAGGTGGAAAGTTTGGCTTTGCAGAGTCTATAGCAGATCAGAGGATCACAGCGTTTACGATGGAAAAGGCCTCTGTGGATACTTCCGACGTTGAGGAGAAAGCAGAAGAAATCATTGCTGAAGCTGAGCCTCCTTCAGAAGTGTATCTTTTGGGGTGGTTTTAGCAGTAACAATGAGATTGGTAACACTTCTGTATTATTAAGGGTCTTTGAAAGATACACTTTTTTAGAGAGAAAACTTAAAGATGCAAGATGGTTTCTTACTCCAGTTGATACAACACCTAGGTTCTTTGAGTTATTCTGCAAAAACCAAAGTTCTTGGGGTGGGCACTGGTTCAGTGCTTAACTCACTTCCTGGAACATATGTGTGCATCCCATATTGGAGCAGCTGGTTTAAATCTCAGCTGTTCTGCTTCAGCTTCCTGCTGATACATACCCTGAGAGTCAGCAGATGATGGCTGCAGTCCTTGTTCCAATGTAACAGCCTTGGCTGTTAGAGGGAGTGAACCAGTGGATGGTTATCTCTTTGCCTTTCAAATAAAATGAAAATAAAAACTTTAAAAACATATCTAAGAAATTGCCCAGGACTGGACTGGAGGTGGAGACAAGTCAGAAATGCAATCCATGTCTCTCACATGGGAAACAGGAATCCAGTAAGTTGAGCCAACTTCCCGGGGTGTGCACCAGCAGGAGGCAGGTCAACAAGTCAGAACCAGGAATCAGATACTCCAGTGGTGGGATGCAGCGTGAACTGCTAAGCCAGTTCCCTGTTCTCTTGTATGTCTGTAACGTCTCGCCTGAGTTACACACTTTATTTTTCTCTGTAGTATTAGCTGTATTAAATTTTTAAATTCTTTTTCTTCTTGAGAGCCCAGAGGTAACAGAACAGCTGCAGGTTATTGAAATAACAAATGTTTTTTTAAAAATTCTTTTTCCTCGTGGAGGAACATTTCAATCAGTCTTACAAAAAGAAATCTTTCATCTTTTTTCAACAGTTCTGTCAAATAGCAATATTTAGATTCTGTTTTCTTAACTTGCCAAGTATTTCTAAACCTGTCCTATGGACTCCTGGAACTGCCCAAATTGGAGAGGGAATAGAAAATGCTTGGGGTGAGCCTGAAGACTCTGAGAAGGACGATGAGGATGAAGGTGGCAGTGATGAAGCTGTCATTCTTGACAGTGTGAAAATGGACACTGGAATAGAAATTTCTGATTCTGGAAGCCAAGGTAAGTGATACTTATATATATATAAAAATAGCTGCATGTGATTTCTATCTGAAGAATCTATAGACATACAAAATGTATATCCTTTTTTAGGAGGACTTTTTTGTGTTTTGAAACTATTAAGGCTGACAATAATTTCTTTAAAATTTTTTATTTGAAAGGCAGAGTTTCAGAGAAGGGAGGGAAATACCTTCTGCCCACTGTTCACTCCCCAACAGTCAGGGCTGGGCCAGCCCAAAGCAAAGAGCCAGGAACTCCATCTGTCTCCCATGTGGGTGGCAGGTACCCAGGCACTTGGGCCATCTTCTGCTGCTTTCCCGGGAACATTAGCAGAGAACTGAATTTTAAGTGAAGCAGTTGAGTAGAACTGGTGTTGGAACTGCCAGTGTCATAGATGGTCACTTAAGGGCCTGGCACAATGGCTCAGTGACTAAATCTTTGCCTTGAAGTGCTGGGATCCCATATGGGCAACTGTTTGTATCATGGATGTGCCATTTCCCATCCCGCTCCCTGCTTGTGTCCTGGAAAGGCAGTAGAGGATCGCCCAAAGCTTTGGGACCCTATACCTGCATGGGAGACATGGAAGAAACTCAGAGCCAGGAGCTTCTGGGTCTACAAAGCAGGTGCAGGGTCCCAAGGCTTTGGGCCATCCTCGACTGCTTTTCTAGTCCACAGGCAGGGAGCTGGATGGGAAGTGGTTCAGCCAGGACACCAGTCAATACCCATGTTATTGTGCCAGCACCGTTATTTTGACACATTTATTTGCCCAATTTTAAAATTGAAGGTATATTTGCAGTGACAGGAACTAAGGTGAGATTTCCCATTTGTTGATTCACTGCCCAAATACCAGGAATAGCCAGGTCTGGGCCCGGCCAGAGGCAGAAACTGGGAGCTCCATCCTTGTCTCCCACCAAGATGGCAGGGCCCAAAGACTATCCTCCTCTGCCTTCCCAGGTACAGTAGCTGGAAGCTGGATCAGAAACAGGACAGCTGGGACACAAACCAGCATTCTAATACAGTATGTCACAAGTGGTAGTTCAACTGGCTTTACCACAACACCAGCCTCCAATTTTCTTCTTAAACGATATTTATTGTTGGCATGAGTATAAACCATTTATACTTCACTAAGCTGTTCCCGCTCCTTCCCAGGCTCTGCATTAGTAGGAAGTTGGAATCAGGAGCAGAGCCTGGAATCAAACTCAGGCACTCCAACAGGAGAGGTCAAGCATCTTAACTTGATAGGCTGAAATGTATCACTATAGTACTGCCTTAGTAGAACTTTCTGTGATGTCCAATACAGCATCATCTAACCCCAGGTAGCTTTTGAAAACTTTAAGTGTGAATTGTATAATGAAGGAGCCGAATGATAAATTTAGAAAATCTGGCTGAGGGAGGGTGATAACATTTAGGGGAATCTTTGCACTGCATAACTTGTTTTTACTTTTACTTACTCAAATTAAGTAGGTAACAGAAAAAAACTGCCTGCTTGACTGGGACCCTTGTTCAACTTTCTCAGTAATACTTATTCTTTATTCTTAAAAGTGCTATATAGAATTCCGTAGCCCTGAATGTAACAGGTTTAAACAGTCTTAATGATCTGAAAGTTGTTTCATGAAGACTGACTTTAAAACAAGTTAAAACTAAAAATGGGAAAAAAAAAAAAACCTGATGTGGGCAAAGATACTCAAAGCAACATTTTAGAACATTGGTCAGTGTTAAAAATACCAGCACTGATGAGTGCATATTTGTGGAAGTTTTTGGCAGAAACATCTTTTAAAATGAATGTGCCTTTTGACCCAGCAGTTCTGCTCAGAGAAAACTGTGGGGCCTTCCTCGTGGCCAAAATTGGTTCTTGGAAAGTGTTTTCCCCTACCTTTTCTATTGACAGTCTATAGATTAAAAGTTTACCTAAATGGAAGCAGTGTTCATCAGTAAGAGTAGCTTGGGCTGTTATTGAATTGGAAGCTTTAGAACTTGTGACACCCATGTGAAATTTCTTGAGATTACTTACCAATATTGCTTTCTTACAACTTTCTTAGATGCCCCTATAGTGCTCTCAGACAGTGAAGAAGAAGAACTGATCATCTTAGAACCAGAACCACACAAAAATCCAAAGAAAATAAGGTAACAAAGTTCTGGTTTATTGGAAATGTGTACACATATAACTTAGCAGCCTTCTGAAGTCTACCTCTACTACAGTACTGTTAACAAAGACATCCCTTTTACATTAAGATATTCAGCTGTTGTGTGGTTTCTTCAGCCTAAAATTAAAAATTAGCACCTCGTTCTCAGGTTCCTGTATTTACTTTCATAGCTGCCACTGATCTATTTCAGTGATCCAAAACTTAACAAGCATGGCTAGTGAACTGTTCATTTATTTACTTTATTCACAGAACACAAACCCCCAGTGGGAAACAAGAAAAAGCACCAGGCAAAAGGCCAATGAAAAAGAGAAAGAAGAAGAGAACTGCTAATTAAAGCCATCCTAGTTGAGTATTTGTATATAACTATTAAAAGGCTATTTATTCAGTACTAACAGCCCTGGGTATTTTTTGTTCACAAATCCATTATGAGCCTAATATTTTTAATAGTTCCTTTTATATTAAAATGAGCTTTCTAGAACTTTTTCTGTTGTTTTTTTTTCATTTAAAAAACCCAAGTAAAACTTTGTAAAAGGACTAAAATGACTTCATAGGTTGACTGTACAAAAAAGCCAGAATGCAGATCTTCACTGACATGGTAAATAAACACAGAACAATTATACAGAAGTTAACAGGCTAATTTAGTTGCTTAGGAAAATGGGCGTTAAAAAAAATGAGGGTCTGTTTTAGTGGGTTGGCCAGATTTTTACCTAAAATTAAATTTGACTTGCAAAATTTTCCAAACGAATTTATTAATTCAATATCCTGACAGCTGGCATCATTAATACTTTCAACAAAACAACTCAAAATTAGCCAGATATCTAAGATAGATACATGTACAAAAGATATACAAATTAAAACCATTTAAAAAAAGTAATAGATACCATAATTTGTTTTTGTCCATACCTGTATTCAGAAATGATCGTTAACATTAAAAACCTAAGATAAAATCTGTACACGATATACTTTGAGTGATTTACATCTTAGAAAACAAAAGCAGTCTTTGCTTTTACAGATTTAGTGTCTCTGGTGGGTTGAGGAGGGAAACGCCATGATACCTGTAAGTAGAAAAATACCTAGTTTTAGTGAACATCATTGGATGAGGGAAATCATATAATACAATATGTATTGGGAACCTCTATTGGATTGAAGAATGTCTGATCCCCAAAATACCTCCCTCCCCCTTCTCCCTCTTCCAGATGCAGGATAAAAAAGCATTAACTACAGCTGCCTCCAAACAAATGACCTGCCAGGAGAACAGCTGCTTGTGGAGGCTGTGGCAGATTAAAGCTAAAATGGGAATCGGAACGATTTCCGAAGCACAGCCAAAAAGCAGGTTTATTCAAAATCCAAGTTAGCTCTTACTTTGAGTTTTTGTACTTTTCTCTTATTGATTGTTGTGCATGCTGTGGTGCTTTGAGGTAGGTCTGGTGAAGGTCCATGAGGCAAGGTTTCAGGATGTCCAGCGTGTATCCAGTCTTGCGTACTAGTGATTCAGGCTATGGCAAGGGAGCAGAGAACCAGTGTTGTTGATAGTAGGCAGTAAAACAAGTTGGTGATACATTTCAGTACTAACAAATGTGTTAGTTTCTCAGGCCATTATTCCATATTTCTCACGCATATTCCCATTTTAACTACTTGCCCTGCAAACAGCAGGTCATAGAATCTGAATTCTTGAAGGCCACCTTTCTTCAAATCCTACAACAAAGCCTTCAATCTAACAACAGATGTTATTCAACAAGTGAGATGTCTTAAACACAGATCACGACAGATCATTTACATTACCATCACTTGTACAGGATGATTATCTAACTGAACTGACACAAGGAAGATAGGTGAAGACTACGTCATACATACCCAGCTTTGTCCCGTGACTGTGTAGAGTGCTAAGTGAAAGGCTGCTCCAGCAATAACTGATGGCAGATACTTTAAGTATGGGTCAGCATCTATCAAACTTAATTCTCCCAGAAACTGAAATGAAAAATACCTTGTGATCACAAGAGTTCTAAGTCAAGCCTCAAGTTCTGACCTGATTGTTTCTTGTGTTTTACTTTGTACCAATTCCAGAAAATATTTCACAACCTCATCTCTAAATACATAGTGTACTTACTGCCCCATTTAGAAAAAAATTTTTTTTTCTATTTGAAAGGGAGAATTTGAAAAGAGACACAGATCTTTGATCCACTGGTTTACTCCCCCAAATGGCCGCCTATAGCTAGAGCTGGGCTAATGTGAAGTCAAGAGCCTGAGCTCCTGGGTCTCCCACATGAATGCAGGGGTGGAAGGACTTGAGTCATAGTCTACTGCTTTCCTAGGCCATTAGCAGAGAGCTAGATGGGAAGTGGAATAGCTGAGACAAGAACTGGCAGCAGTGTGGGATGCTGCTGCCATAGGAGAAGGGTTAGCCTGCCACCAGTGTTGGCCATTTCTGTGCCATTGTTGTCTTGACTTGCCCCAATTATTACATAAAACTCCAACAAAAATTTAAATAACTTACCATTGCTAAACTTTCAACTTTGCAGTTTGCAGGTTGCTGATGCAGGAAATATTGGGTGAGAAACTGATTTACTGTTGGGGCAGCTAAGTCAAAAGCAAGGACTTTCAAAACTAGATGCTCCATTCTCAGAACTTGCTTCTTGGTATAGGTATCATCTGTAATGTACACGAACTCTGCTACTTCTGGAGGGTATATTTCTTCAAATTTCCTACAATGAAAGTTTTTAGATAATCAGTCTTGATTCTGAAATCACAGTAGCAGAACATCTGGAATGAATCCAAAACCTACACTCCACAAAATGTACTTATATCAATTCCTGACCATCCAAATTGAAAGGGCTCCCAAGACATTTCTCCCTGTTCAAAGAAATGAGATGACATTCCCCAAGGAGAGAACTACACTAGAATTTTCCAAATAGCTAAAATTTTAAGAAGTGTTAATTTGTGGGAAAATAAACTTTGACAACGACAGCTCCTCTAACCCCAGCCTCCATCACACCATCATCCCTAAAGTAATCACTGATGCTCTGTCCTGTACCACACTAAAATGCCAGTGGATGTGTTTTTAATGTAGCTTCTTCCCTAAGCAAAAAGGTAGTGATCACTTTCAATCAGGCAAAGCAAGTTGAACTTACGAGGCTAGCAGCATGGCAGCCGTGCCCACAAGCTGAAGCTTTCCTCTCAACACAGACATTGAAGAAAGGAATCTGTCGATGTAGTTCACTGCCAAATGCAGGGTCTCATTCTGTAGTTTATATTCCTCTCCTACTTCAACTAACCAGTCCACGAGGATAGCTCTCATACTGTTGGTGATGTCAGGTTGCTTCTTCATGTAGCCCACTTTAGGTTTACATTTAAGCTGTTGAAAAAGTTTAGTTGTGTTAACAAAGCTGTGCACACTGTGAACTTAAGCATTAGGATAAAGCAGTTTATATTGTTTTACTGAATTACATTTACAAAGCGGACTCAGTCTTTACCTCCATTTCCCTAAGATAAGTGTGAATATCCTCATGGTAGTCTGGAACTTCATTAACACTCACTGGCTTTTCATCTTCTAATACAATTGACATGTCCATCATATTTGGTGACTCTGAGACAATAAAAAAATGTCCAAGTTAACTGTTAAAGTTTTGTGTTTAACAGTTCAAAATTACTGTTATAAGGAATCTCATTATCAAAGCATCTACTTCATCTGTAAGAATGCTTGCTTATAATGAAGTACTCAGAATATCTTAACTATTTAGAATTTCAGTTAATAAAAATTAATACATATTAACAGGCCAATAACAGAAAATGAAGCCTGAGTATTCTATTAAAGCATCATGTCCTATGGGACAGCAGCAGATGGCACAGTTAACATCCTTAAGAGTTGCCTAAAAGACTGCAGAGCCACAGTCTGATATATTCAAGGCACACTTTGGTAGTAGTTAGAATCAGAACTAACTGGTTTCTACCAAGTGTTAATGAGGGCATTAACTTTATCAATGCACAGTTCAGATTAATACTGTAATAAGCTATTCATTTTTTGTAATGCTATCTTGAACCAAATACCATTATTTCACTTGAAAGATCACCTTGTGGTTAAGTTTGTTGCAAAAGTGGAATAAAAACAAATTACTTCCAAAGATCCTTCCCTAATTATTCTCCCAACTAAAACTAAAATTGGATTAGATACAATGATCTCTTCAGTGATTCAACAATCCATGGCAAACAAATGGCACAGCCCAGACACAGCCCCGCAGCAGCTGCTGTCACAGAAAACAGCTGTGGTGGAGACCTGCACCAGGGCATCCCAACTCGGGTATCAGATGACACAGAATCGAAATGCTAAAGCTGCAGATGTTGGAGATCACAATATCACGATTCAAAAGTACTAACTGCTTACATGCAAATGAAATCTACACTCACAGAGAGGCAAACAGTTATGGGGTCACATTAAAATCAGCATTGACGCTCTAAATAAACTGATGTGATCAGGATTGAGGTCCTTTTGTCGGTGGCTAGGTCAAATGTTAGCTGTGAAATAAGTACCTCTAACCATATAGCTATCATTATCTTAGTATGACATATTTTCTTTGAAACTTACCACCATTGAAACTACCATCCATTGGATAATCGAGAGGTACCAGTGGTTTTCTTTGTCCGGGTAAAGCAATTGCTGAACTAAAAGCCAAGGCATCCTCAGACTTGGGGGAGGATTTTTTGGAATCATTGGGCTTCTTGGGAGGCTCCTGATCGGGTTCATCCACATGAATGGTGAAGGCCGGCTGTTTACCATTGACTTTCCAAGGAGGAACTGCGGCATGCTCATCATTTACACAAACATCCTTTAGAGGTGCAACCTAAAAGGACATTAATAGCTGGCTTTGAATTTTGCCACTTTCCCCCCATGAGATCCAATACTCAGTATTAAGGAAAATTCAACTTTCATAAGGCTAGGCAAGGAAGATAAAAGGAATATTTCAGTCTCACGTACTTATGAAAGCACCTAAAAAAGGCAGAACCAGAGGAGAATTATATAAACCCTGACCAAAGCCACAAAGAACCTGGGAGGTGGCAGACCTGACAGGCTGAGGAAGGCAATGGCACCTTTATAAAGCATTGGTTCAGCACTTTGGCCCCAGGGTGGAGCAACATAGCCAATTCGGCCAAAATGGCGGAATTGGCAAAAGCTACAGGTTATTATTATTTTTTTCTACATCCCTTTCTGAAATACAAGGACGCATGGCCAGATGGTGAGGGGGGAGGGGACCCGGTTCCTCGGACAGTGCTTGGGGTTTGAAAGTGGAAGAAAGGCGTGGGGCTTGGCCAAGGCACTGGTTGTGGGGTTGGTTTGACCTCAGGATCCACAGAAATGAGCCCCCCAGGGCGGACATGCACCACCCGCAGCGCTGGGAACGCATACACTGCTGAGTGGAAGAAAGCCAATAACGGCACCCCGCACGCAGGAGGAGCGGGGACCAAGTGGAATTCCGATCCCGCCTCCGGCTTCCCGTGCAAGGCCCCGCGTTTGTTTCTTGTTCCTTCCCTCCTCTTAAGTCATGCCCGACCCCCGCTCGGCCCACCGCCCTCCAGCCGTCTCCCATCCCTTTACCCGTCGCGTCCTGGGCCTTAGCTGTACGGCTGGAGCCCGCGAGTTCCCGGCCTTCAGTACCGCCAGGGCGGCCTGGGTCCGTGGCTGCTGGGCGGGCAGCGCGGTGTCCGGGTTGATGTTCTCCTGGTCCTCGTGGAGCGCCTTCTGCTGCAGCGTTAGCAGGGCCGAGCCCGCCTCGCGGGCCGCGGGCTTCGGTGCCGAGTTGCCCAACATCGCTGCTCCCTGCGGCGGGCGGCGCGATCAGCTGCCGAGCCAAGCAGCGTGCACTCCGCCCAGCCGACTAAGGCGCCGATCCCGCCGAGGAGCGCTGCAACCGGAGCCGCCGCCGCAGCCAGGGCCAGTCCTGCCAGGCGTCCGGCCCTCTCCTCGGCCTCCGGACCGCTCGGATCGAGGAGGTTGCGAGAGGCGGAGGCAAGGCCTGGCGGGCGTGCAGCACCGAGTACGCCCGCAGATGCAGCCAGCAGCCCGCCGCCGCCGCGGCTGTTCATGCAGTTCAAGTATCCCGCGACTATTGAAATGGGCCAATGAGAGCGGCCGCGTCCCGCCACGTCACCGGATGCGACAGGGTCGCAGCAGAGTGAAGGCGGCGGCGCAGCGAGCCCTGCACGGACGAGGCGGAGCCACGTCGCGCCGGGCGGGAGGAAAGGCGCCTGCGCGGACCGGCGCGGGGCCGGAGGGCGGGGCCAGGCGGGCGTGCAGCCTGCAGGCGGGAGCTGCCCTGCGGGAGTGCAGCGGCTGTTAGTGGCCTCAAAGTCACCAACTCTTTGTTTTATCTAACTGGAACTAGTTTCTACAGGTCAGAGGATTGTTAGGATTACGTAACGTGCACCCACCTTTTAACACGCAGTTCACATAGCAATACTTAAAAATGACAGACTACAAGATGATCTTACCACTTAGCAAGGAGGCAGAACTTTCTCTTAGCATTTTTTATTTTTCTTAATGAAGATGCAGGTAATTCAAGATGACACAATGAACTATCGTTGATAACAGGTAAATAGTAATAGATTACAAAAAACAGACAATCACCAGTCATTACCTTTAATGTTTTTGCCAAGCTATGGCAGCCAATAGAAAGGAGACGGAAATTCTAATGACTGAGATAAAATTACGGTGTTCCATTTAAAATGAAGGCTATTTAAATGCAGCAAAAGCAATACGACCCTATTACAACAAAACTCTTAACTGCATGTATCTAACACATTTTTACATTTAACATATAAGGTTTGCAAATAAATACTGGCATGTAACAAAGCAATTTTCTGTCAAACTCATGAGTCGGCCCTTCCTGAAAGCATAAAATCGAGCTTATTTTCCATGATGTTAGTACCATGTAAAAACTTTTAAGCCAACTATTTCCCTGACATCTGACACGAATACACTTGAATCAGGATTAATGAGCAAAATATTTTGCTCCAACAAGAATGAAAAAGGAAATTACGGCCGAAGGAAAACGAACGCGGCATGACTCCTGCACTCTTCCCGCTGGGCGCCTGAGATCCGCCTGTGACACAACAGCAAGGGAAGCGTGCCCAGGCTCGGAGCCGTGCTTCCTTCTGGGGCCACACCTTACAGCGCTGTGTAGCACATCACACAAGCAGCAGGATCAGAAAACACCACCGACCAAGCAATCAGCTGCCCATCAACCCCAGCCACCAGCACAAACAGACGGAGGTGGCTGGCACAGTCTGGCGGCATATCTAGGAACCGAGACACACACCAGGTGTGGAAACAAGGTAATACATAAAAATATGCCTTGAAGCCTGTAAAGTAGTTTACACTTAAGTGTGTAGGTGCCTTGCACAAAATTTGAATACATTTTAATTTTCAATATAGTATTTCTCAATTTGAAAATAAAAGCATTCACTTAGTAAAATGTACAAAGCAAACCCTCATAACCATTCTCCTTGAGCTTCAAAAGTAAAAACACATTTTAAAAAAATATTCATTTATCAAAATAGAAGTATTACTAAAAAAGTCACTGTCTCACATTTTTAGGTGATACATCAATAAATTATTTGACATCAAAAAGCATTTGCAGTACGAAGCATGTTTTGGCATTTCTGTTGAGACTCTATCTTTGGAGCTTTACCTTGCTGACACATCATGCTGCATCAAAGAAAGCAATCAGTGCATTTTGATCGTAACTATCCAGGATCTCCAGCAGAAGAGGTACCTTGGTTTTTACATTGGTGCCTTTGAACTTAAACTTATCGATGAAAAGATCAGTGATCATGCCTACAAAGAAAAATGAAAATGTCCTGTCACTTAGTTCTATTTAATGGAATACTGAGTAAGTAATCACCTGGAAATTTTTTTTTAAGATTTATTTTTTATTTTTATACAGAGAGGAAAACCTTCCATCCACTGACTTACTCCCTAAACGGCTGCAAAGACCAGAGCTAAGCTGATCCAAAACCAGGAGCCAGGAGCCTCCTCCAGATCTCCCATGCAGGTGCAGGGTCCCTAGGCCCTGGGCTGTACCTTCCCAGGCCACAAGCAGGAAGCTGGATGGGAAGCAGGGCTGCCAGAATTAGAACTGGTGCCCATATGGGATCCTGTGTGTGCAAAGTGAGAACTTTAACCACTAGGCTATCACACCGAGCTCTGGATATCGTTTTTAAGATTGACATTACTGGGGTTGGTGTTGTGACATAATGGGTTGAGCTGTCACCTACAATACAGGCATCCTGTATGGGCGTGAGTCCTGGAAATTCCACTTTCGATCCAGCTCCCTATTAATGCACCTGGAAAACCAGCAGAGGATAGCCCAAGTGCTTGGGTCCTGCACCCAATGGGAGAAACAAATGAAGCTCCTAGCTCCTAGCTTCAGCCTGGCCCAGCTCTAGGTGTTTCAGCAATTTGAGAGTGAACCACCAACAAATGGAAGATCCCCGTGTCCTCCCCTTCTGTCTCCCCCTTCTTTGCCACTCTGTATTTCAGACAAATAAATTTTTATTAGAAAAAGTAAATTGTGGGGTGGGTGGGAAACAGGGTGGGGCTTCTCTCTCAACATCCCCCTTTACCTCAGATACATGAAGGAACAACATGGAAATAATAGTCTTACCCACTTTCCTATAGCCCTTGAACCTTTTTGCCCTAATTAACTATGTAAAGATTGTCAAAATTATAATAAAAAATGGAAAAAGTAAAATAAAAAAAAAATTCCTGCCACCCACATGGGACACCCAGGTGGAGTTCCAGGGTCTTGGCTAGTACCTAGCCCAGCTATAAGAACAGAAATGTTTAGTCTTAGGTTTTAGGTAAACAATATTTCTTAAATAAAGATCATTTCATGATAAGAATTAAATGTCCCATTTGATTATGAAGATGGTTTAAATAGTGTCATGCATAATAGTTGTTATATAAGGACTGAGAAAAAACTTTTTTCCTATGCTGCTCCTTCCTGCCTGCCTCCTCTTCTTTCCCTATTTCTTTCAACGCAAGTGGTGAAACACTGATCCCACCACCAAAGTAAACCAAGTTTTTAACATATATATATATAGTTGATATATATAATTTACATATATATGTCAATTTATAGTTCAAACTTTGGTTTGCTTTGGCAGCAAGATTTTGGGTATATTGCAAGTTGTATTGTGAAACAATTCATTTAATTTCACCTAAAATTATTAAATGCTTCTGCTTTGTTACAACTCACAATAACAATAAAACCTGAACATTATTTGTGTAAAATATAGTCTAAACTCTACTACTTCATAACTTAATATTTGACTCATTTTTTCCTGTTTTTCTTACAAGATCCTTGTCAAGCAGCCAGTTGAAAACAAATACTGAAAGACCATTCTAGACTGGTCTACTAACCATAAAGTCGTTCAAGATGTGCAGGTTGCTTTTTGTATTCTTCCAGCAGATAATCAGCCTCTTCAAGAATAGAGCGATACTCTGGTATCAGAAAATTTGTATTTCCTTCATGAACCTGCAATTCCTTATTTTACATTAAAAACAGAAGTTCAAAATTACATCCAGTATAACATTATTTAGAAAAATATCAAGATTTTAAAAATAATGATTGTGAATCATGGCATGCATACTTACTTTTAAAGCTTCAATTAATTGTACCTTCTTAGCCAAAAGCAACTGGTACTCCAGCTTTGGGTGAATCAGCTTTAAAGTGTGTTTGACTGACACCTCATTTATCTCTAAAAGGAGTTGGCCAGGCACAAATAGGTAAATACATTGATCAGAAACAACACCAATGTCACAACAAAAAAATCAGAAAGAATTACCATATGATATGTTGAGGTTAATTTTCCTTTTCGTAGCTTCTTTAGAGAGCACATCTTTTAGGATGGATATAGTAGAAATGTTGTCAGATTTAAAAACTCCTTCTCCTTTTCTATAAAATTAAAACATTTTTAAAAAGAGCTAGAGAAAGACTTGGTCCATTAAATATACATTTTATGATTAGCATTCTGTGTTTATATTTCACCTGATTTTTAAATTTATGCCTGCATGTGTCTTATTAATATAAGGCATACTTAAAATATAATCTTTTACTGCCATCTTATTTCAATTCCTGAACATATTCATGAAACTGAAGATGCTAGACAATGCCTCTTAAAGAAACAACAATTTATGTAAGTCCTTGATTTAAGATGATTTTTTCTTCCTTTTCACTCATAGAGCTAATAGCTAATCCTTTATATGTAACATATGCATTTAGATTTTCTAACTTATAAACATACTGAGCAGCATCAGGGAGCTGGGTCAGAAGTGAAATGACAAGACCTCAAGCTAGAACTGCAATATAGGATGCAGTATCACAAATAGCAGCTTAATCCGTTGAGAAACAACCTGGTCCTACAATAGGTCTTCACTGTACCTCAGGTGACTGTGGCCAAACTGGGCCTAAGGCAAATCACTGTTAAAGTGACAGGAGCTGATAAATTCCTTTATTTGGTTAAGGTTGCAGGCATTTGATTTCTTTTTATAATTAACACAAGTTTCCTAAATAATATTTATCATCTTTTATCTATTTTCTTTTTTTAAAAGATTTATTTATTTTATTACAAAGTCAGATATACAGAGAGGAGGAGAGACAGAGAGGAAGATCTTCCGTCCAATGATTCACTCCCCAGGCGGCCCCAACGGCTGGAGCTGAGCCAATCCAAAGCCAGGAGCCTCTTCCAGGTCTCCCACGCAGGTGCAGGGTCACAAAGCTTTAGGCTGTCCTTGACTGCTTTCCCAGGCCACAAGCAGGGAGCTGGATGGGAAGTGGAGCTGCCAGGATTAGAACTGGTGCCCATATGGGATCCTGGGGCGTTCAAGGCGAGGACTTTAGCCGCTAGGCCACGCCGCTGGGCCCTATTATCTTTTCATTTGGTACTCACAAATCATCTATATTGGTTGGCTGTAGTCAGATTCTACTTTTATATAAAGATGAATAATAAACCCTTACTATTTTGATCCCAATTATGTTTTAGAAATCATGGCATTTTCACTAGTATTTAATCTTAACAGATGATATTTAATTAACA